GAGACGTCCGAAAACCGTAACAAAAATAGGCCTTCAAAATTTAAATAACCAGTTCCAAAGGCTAGGCCTCGGCAAAACTATATTTTGGAATCACTTATTTCGGGAGAAAAGTTCTCAATGACGCCGAATCCAAAGCGCATAAAACCTAAATATGTGAAGGCAGGATTTGTTCAAACTTATAGAACTTAAGTTGTTTTGCGCTAAAACACTCTGACCTTTGTGAATACAAGCAATAAAATAAAGGAAAAGTTTGACAGTCGAAATATATATATATATATATATATATATATATATATATATATATATATATATATATATATATATATATATATATATATAACCAATCTTTTTACAAAGGCCGGATCGGCCAAATACAAAATTTACGACGGCCAAAATGGCCTCAAAAAAGAAACAAAAGAAAGCAAAAATATAAAGGCCTAAGTAGCCTGGTCTTCGTCGAAGGCAGCATCTACATTCTCGGGATTTTCCCATCTTCGTATCCGCTTAGGCTCTCGGAGTCTTCCTTAGGATAAGCTTGTTTCCAGGCTCGGTCTCCTCTGCTCTGGCTGTCTAGAGCTCGGCCGCAACATCAAAACCTTGAGCCTGAACCTCACTGAGGGTTTCCTTTGAGCTTGCCATTTCGCATAATCCACCATAATCCTGGCCTTCGCCTGGATGGCCTCGACTTTAACCTTAAATTGGGCTACTTTAGCATCAGCTTTAGTGTTGGTCATGGCCGCCTCAGATTTGGCCACCTCGAGTTCGTTGGCCAAGTTTGCCTTATCAGAGATGGCCGAATTCAGTTGGGACTGAAGCTCCTCGATTTTTTCCTTGCAGCCCGAAGCTAAGACTCGGTCGACTCGAACTCTGCTTAGACGGCCTCCTTTTTTGAAGCTATGATGTCCATACACCCCTTGAACTTTTCAACTTCGACTTGTATTTCACCTATTTGTCTCTGAAAGTCCTCGATCTGTTCGAGCCTTTGTCGAACCTGCAGAATCGTATCGTTAGTTATTATCTAAACTCACCTTCACTATCGTGAAGCACTCAAAATACTTGCTTGACCATCTCAGCATGCTCATCTCGAGCCGTCACCAAATCTGCCTGAAGCTTCTCACCGACAAGCTTGTAGGTATCGCTTTTTTCAGTGAGGTCCCGAAACCTCAGCCTTGCGCTCCTCTCAGATTCAAAGGAAGGCCTCGTGATGCAACACCGAAGCGTACGTGTAAGGAAGAAAATGATAGAATTATCTACAATTCAAAGTTTAAAAAAGATAATGGAATGGCCCTCGAAGTTACCCGATTCAAAGCGTGTTGGGCCTTGTTGAACAGAAAACGGCTCCCACCGCGTCTATCGCGGCTTGGTCTTGTTTGGTCACAAAGCATCTCAGGTATCTAGAGATCCCCGCGGGGGGGTGGGGGGGGGAGGGGGGGAGGGGACAAGACCCGGGCATCCTCCGGGACAGTAACATGGTATGCCTACGATCAAGGTTAGCAGTGGGGGCTGGGAACCGATCCACTAGTTTAATGTTCGATGAATGTTACACTCCATAGTTTCATATGTGAGAGTACGTCGTAAGTCAATTGATGCATGCTCTGAAATGAGATCATCTTTGAAAGTACATAAAGTAAGTTAATCATGTTAACTTGGAGGTTACAAATACTTAAGATCATGGACTGCAAGTACCAAGAGGGTTGGAAGGCTTAGAAGCTAAACCAATTGAAGAAAATAAGTTTCGTCGAAAATCGACAAGTTAGGAATGTTATAATGTACGATTGGGGTGAGGCTAGGGTGCTAAAAATGATAAGGAGGTTATGTTATGAGTTATTTTTGTCATACGATAGTCGTGTATTATGTTTTGAAGTCAAGTGAGTTGTGGAACAAATGTTGGCAAAGATCATCACAATATACTTGGAGCTAGGGGATTACCTACTTACCAAATTGAATATCTACGAGTCTATTTTCTAACCCATTAAACCGTTCATTGATACGACATAGGAGTAGAGAGATATTTGCTGTGTCGCGAGACTACGCAGACTGCATAGGTGACAAGTAGGTGTGTCACTAAAGCTTTTTGAGCAATACGATTCGTGTGTTATATGGGGTCTTTTTGAGACATATTATATACCAAATTGAGGTCTTGGAATGAAATTTCTAACGCTATTAACTGTTCCTTCATACGACATCCAGATAAAAAGATATAAGCGTTTGAAGAAGAGCCAATAATAGGGTGCCAAGCTAGCACCTCTTTGACTTTTCAAAAATGGATATATATAGGCCTTATGTCGTCTCTTTCTTAACTTTTCCACATACCAAGACCAGAATAAGACCCCTAACCTTATCGTCAAGCTCTTCACAAGGGTTTCCAAGAATATTAACATCCATGGTATGAAATCAAGAACCGATAACACTAAAACGATTCCTACGACGTAAGTATCGCTATATCGCCTCTCTTTTGCTGTGTAGTTTGAGTTTTGGAAAGCGCTTCATAGTTACGAAAACATCCATTTTCTGTATTTAAGTGTTTAAATATCAAGGAAGGTTTATAAATTGGTTTCCTAATTGTTAGAACTCACGGGACGGTGATCGGAAGCCGTGAGTTCGATTTATTTCGCTTTTGGTAGACTGTTTGTATTCCACTTGTCTTGGCCTCTTGTGCTGATGTTTTATGGAGTTTTGGAGGATAAAAGGTGTGGAGAAACACCATATAATGACGGAATGGTGGGCTGGTCGTTCGTTGTTACACTTTGTAGGTTGTTTGGCACTACTTTGATTGTTGTTTTATGTATGAAGTGATTAGGGTGTGTGGGCTATTTTGTGGTACATTGTGATGGAGATAGGGTTGGAAAATGATGCATACATGTTGTTATTGTGGTGTTCTTGGTATTGTTGGTATATGGTACTGGAGGAGGTACTTGTTACAGGGGAGATACTGCCCAAATTTACGTAAACGAGCTACTAGATTAAGTTGCGAACTTAGCCTTTACTCCGCACTGATTTTGAATCTCCTTATGTTGTGGTAGATTGAATTGAGTTGTTTGAAGAATTGCATGGAAGGTATTAAGGACTCAACAGAGTTAAGGTATGTTAAGGCTAAACCTTTCCTTTATTTTGTCATGATCCAGTAACTACATGTGTTTGATAACGAGACATAAAGAAAAGTTCATATTCCTGACTTTATGTACATTTTCCTAGTCTCATAAGTTACAGCATTATCCCTTATCTGGACATCATATTCAGTTTAGTTTTGTCTTTTATCAGCCAAGAGAACCGGACATTAGCTACGGAATTTATCTTGGATACACATATCCCTAGCTAATATACACCTTTAGCTAGGGATTTAGCTAGAAAAGTCACATTTCCTTGCAAATTTTTTTTTATTAAAAATCTAGTCATAATACAGATAGGAATTAGCTAGGGATCATTCCTTGCTAAAACATAGCTAGAGATTTTTCCAAGCCAAATTTATAGCTAATTTTTAGTGGGAATCCTAATTTGGCGCTAAATTAATTTTTTCAATAGATCATAGGTTAGATAGGGACATAGTTCGTAGCAAATCCCTATCAATGTGTTAGCAAGGAAAGTCTCCTAGCTAATCTATAGCTAAATTTTAGCGGGAAACTTATTTTGGCACTAATTATTTTTTTCTGAAATTTGTCTTTTAGCTAGGAATATGTGCGGTTGCTAATCTCTAGCTAAAAAGTAGCTAAAGATGTTTCCTTTCCAAAACTGTAGCTAAGCTTTTAGAGGATTTAGAAATAAAAAAAAATTGTATAAAAAATCCAGCTTAGCTAGCGGGAAAGGTTTAGCTAATTTGTAGCAAATTAAAATTAAGCCCTAATTAAATATACTAATTAAATTCCAAGTCACCCTTTTTTCTTAAATTTGTAGGGTTGGCGCTTAAAATCTTTAGTAATATTCTTATAACTGAACTCGGTTTCTCAAATCCTTAAAACCCGCTAAACATCCACACAGTCTTCCACGTCTCTTTATTCCTCTAAACTCTCAACTATCATCTTCTAATCCAGTGAAAGGAGACAACTTGTTATCACTGCAGCTTGTAAGCTTCCAGTAAGAATTTCTCCTATGCTTGAAGCATCTCTGCAAATAGGTTTTTTTGTGAGTGTTTAATTTATCGTGAGTTATCAATACCTTCCTGGCACCACAAATTCTTGTCGTCATTTAATTTAGTGTTAACTATGAACTAAGATAGAGCAATTCCCCCAATGATTTATGTTTTCTATCTTATTATAGAAGTTGAACTTTCAATAATGTGATATAAGATGCTTCTACGTATATGTTTTATTTGGTTTTTGCTGATTATTAGATGATTGTCCTTATATTTTTGTTGAACAAACTATTTCTGGGTTTGAGGAAAAAATAATGAAGATTTATTGTTGCTATGGTTAAGCAAGTAAAATTATTTCCAAAGAAGGCAATATGATAAGTGAATAAGAATGAAATTCATATAATCTTATACTTTTAGTATATGATAGGAAAAAGAAGCAGAAGCCTACGTGCCTTTGTAAGTTTACTTGAAAGCAAAGCTGAAGTGATATACCTTTTTAAATAAATAAATTCCACTTACAAACATGTGTTTGATGAAAAACATAGGCAACCTCTCCTAGTTGTCTTCTCTGTACTTTTCCAGATTTGGTGTTGTCAATCTGCTTAAATTGGTGAACTAATTAATATTATTATTAAGTACTAAAATAGTGTTTGTGTTTTTTCATTGTTTGTTAGATAGCAAGGATGAGTTCCTTTAGAGCTAATCGTATATGGATGTATAATAGACTGGTGCCTAGTCGAAAAGGAGTCACCACTGAGTTTATAGAGGGTGTGCATGGATTTGTAGAGTTTGCATTAATGCAACATGACTTCGTTTCTAATGGGAGTATGAGGTGTCCATGTTCAAGATGTAGAAATATTGGTGGGTTTCTTGAACCTCATGATGTTAGAGCACATCTGTACAAGCATGGTTTTATGCCTAATTACTATCAATGGGAATCACACGGAGAGAGCCTTTTGTACCAATTTCTAGACCTCAACCTTGTAGCAATACAGGAAATGAAATAGGTCCTGACATAACAACAGTAAATCCGTATCGCACTATCATCTTGGATGCAATTGGTCCTAGTTTCAACTTAAAAGTGTTATTTAATCTGGATGGTGAAGAAGAACAACCACCTAATCGAAATGCTCTAGAGTTTTTTGATATGCTAAAAGCTTCAGAAGAGCCATTGTTTGATGGATGTACTAATCATTCTACGTTGTCAGCGGTTTGCAGGCTACTGAACATTAAGTCTGAGTTTAACATGGGTGACAATTGCTATAACCAAATTATGCTTTTTCTGAAGGAGCTCTTACCTGAAGATGCTAAATTACCCAACGATTACTATAGGACTAAACAAATGGTTGCAAAACTTGGGTTAGGATATGAAAAGATAGATGTATGCAACGCAGGTTGTATCCTGTATTACAAGGATAATAAAGATAAATTAGAATGTCCAAAGTGTGGTCAACCACGCTATAAGCCTAAGAGAGGAGGCAATGGAAGGCAAAAAGATGTTGCATATAAAGTACTACGTTACTTTCCTATAACTCCAAGATTACAGAGGTTAAATATGTCAACAAAGGCTGTTGAACATATGATATGGCACTGGAAATCTCGTCGAGAACCTGGGGTAATGAGTCATCCAAGTGATGGCGAGGCAAGGAAAAAGTTTGATCAATGCCATCCTGGCTTTGCAGCTGAGCCTCGAAATATTAGGCTTGGACTTCCAGCTGATGGGTTTAGTCCATATGGGCAGATGGCTCATCCTTATTCTTGTTGGCCTGTAATCATCACACCATACAATCTTTCACCCGGAATGTGTATGAGTAGCCCGTACATGTTCTTAAGTCTTCTCATTCCAGGTCCAAAAAGCCCTGGAAAGAATATAGACTTATACTTACAACCTCTTATTGATGAATTGAAGCAATTATGGGTTGATGGAATTGAGACTTATGACTCTTATAAGAAACAAAACTTTCAAATACGAGCTGCACTTATGTGGACTATCAATGATATTTCAGCTTATGGAATGTTGTCTGGCTGGAGTACCCATGGCCATTTGGCATGTGCTTGTTGTATGGGAAAAAGTAAGGCGTTTCACTTAAAAAATGGAAGAAAGGCTTCATTCTTTGATTGTCTTTGTCAATTTTTGCCAATAGGTCATACATTTCGCAGGGATAAAAAATCATTTTTAAAAGGAAGAGTTGAGCACTCTGCTCCTTCTCCTTGGTTGTCTAGTGAAGAAGTTTGGAACAAAGTGCGTGACTTACTAAAGGTTTTAGATGATCGCGCCTCTGATAAGTTGCCAGGATTTGGGGATCAACATAATTGGACAAAACAAAGCATTTTCTGGGAATTTCCATATTGGCGCGCAAATATTATTCGGCATAATCTCGATGTGATGTATATCGAGAAAAACATGTTTGATAATATATTCAACACAGTAATGGATGTAAAGGATAAAATGAAGGATAATTTAAAAGCTAGAATGGATGTGCAGACTTATTGCGATCATCCAGAGCTTGAATTGAAGGAACATCAAGGGAAAACTTTGAAGCCAAAGGCAGCATATTCATTGACAAAAGAACAAAGAAAGTTGATATGTGAATGGGTGAAAAGCTTAAGGTTTCCAGATGGTTATGCTTCCAATTTGTCTAGATGTGTAGACATGGAAGATTATAAATTATCAAGAATGAAGAGCCATGAGTGTCATGTATTTCTAGAAAGGTTGCTACCAATTGCATTCCGAGATTTTTTGCCAGAGCCAATTTGGAATGCTTTAACAGAGATCACCTTATTTTTTAAAGGTTTATGTGCAACTGTTTTAAAAGTAGAAGATCTACAAAAGCTTGAAGAAAACATAAAGATTCCAATTTGCAAGATAGAGAAAATATTTCCTCCTAGTTTTTTTTGATCCCATGGAACATTTGCCGATTCGTTTAGCATATGAAGCAATAGTTGGTGGTCCAATTCAGTTTCGATGAATGTGTCCTTTTGAGCGGTAAGAGTCTAAATTGAATCTTTGATTAGATAATTAATTTATTTACTTAACAATATACTAAAATATATTCTAATTGTAGGGAGCTACACACTTACAAAAAGAAGGCGAAAAATATAGCTCGTGTCGAAGGATCAATATGTGAAGCTTATATCATTCAAGAAATTTCAACATTCAGTTCCCAATATTTCCAGCCTAACGTCCAGCCCTCGTGTTCGCGTAGCATTATTTGGCGCTGAGGGTTGTGGCTATTTTTCCTCATCGCGTTTGCATGCCTTCAATCGCGTTCGCGTAGCTTTGCAATGTTCGCCCTTCGCGTTCGCGTTCGCGTTCGCGTCTCCTACTTCGCGTTCGCAAAGAGCAATTTCTGGGCGACAATAATTTCTCTTCCGCGTTCGCGATAAAGCTTCCGCGTTCGCGAAGCATAATTGAGCAGACTTCATTTTTCTTCTTCGCGAACGCGAGAATTCCTCCGTGTTCGCGGTGCATTAAATACCTGGGCAGATATAAAATTTCAAAAATGAGGGTTTAGCCATTTTTATCAAAACTCAAGCTTGGGAGCTTGGATTTGAGCGAGATTTTGAGAGATTTTCAGAGATATTGATTGGGTAACGATTCTAAACACCTTTTTGCTTGTAACCCACTAATCTAAGCGTGAATTCCTCCTTTAATTTCGGATTTTGAATGAAAAATTGATAAAACTTCATAGACCGAATTATTGAGTTTTGAGTGGGTTTTTAACATCCGATTTGGGAGATTCTTATATGGTTAGACTTGTGAGAGTACGAGGGTTCTGAAAATGTTAATTTCACCCGATTCCGAGACGTTGTCCTGAGGGGCATTTTGGTCATTTTTCATAATTCCGCGTATTAGCTTAGAATTTAATCGTAGAATCAATTACTTGAAGTGTTATTTATATTACGAAATTGAATTGAATAGATTTGGGCCATTTGGAGTCGAGTACTCGTGGCAAGAACGTGGTTTCTAGTTGATTTGAGCTAGTTCGAGGTAAGTATCTTACCTAACCTTGTGTGGGAGACTTCCCCCTAGGATTTGAGTCTTCTCTGTTGATTGTAATCCGAGTACGCGAGGTGACGAGTGCGTGCTCAGACATATTTGTGGAAACTTGGCCTTTTAGGATTCTTAGGTCCTTATATTCACAGAGTATGAAGTTGTTCTTGATATGATTGAAGTCCCTATTACTAGTTTCATCTCTACATGTTTTACTTGGAATTAACTGCTTTATGGTTCATTCATATTGCCTCATTGACTCTTACTATTGCTTAACTGAAGATCTTTCCTCTATTGTTGCGTTATCTTTCAACACTGCTTGTTTTTATTGGAAATCATTATTATCACCCATGTAATTATTTAGTCTTAATTGAAATGGTTGTATATCTTTCGTAACCTGCCCAACCTTTAAAAGAAGAGTAGATATTCTATGTTTAGTTGACAGTTCCTTAATTGAAATTACTTGACTCTTGTTAACTCCCTTATTGTTGAACTACATGCTATGGGGTCGTTGCTTCATATTATTTTCTCCCTTGTTGAGTTGTTATTATTACGTTTACCATTCTCTATTGTGGTTGCTCCTTGTGAGCTAGTTTTACCGTCCCCTGGTGAACGAAAGATTTTAGAGTTGATTCACTTGTTGTGTTTTTGTATATATATTGTTATTGTTGTTGTTGTACTTGGGGTGTTGATGCACGAGGTTTCTGCCGTGCGGTTATTGTTATTGTGATGCACGAGGTTTCTACCGTGCGATTATTGATATTGTGATGCACGAGGTTTCTGCCGTGCGGTTGTTGTTGTGGGGTCGCACGAGGTTTCTGCCGTACTATTGCTACTATTGATATATTGCACATGCGGCGTAACAAGGCGGGATATGTATATATACTTATATGTGGGTTGCGCATGTGGCGAAATAAGGTGGGAACATTATGATGCACGTGTGGCGAAACAAGGCGGGCACTTATTATGTTATTGTTTGCACACGTGGCGGAACAAGGTGGGCTATGTCAGGGGTTATGTGAGTATTTGGGATGGCCTGAGGGCATTTCTGTTTGTTCAAATGTTGTGATTATTGTATGTTTACCTATATGAACTTTGTCTTGTGGAAGTTGTGAGGTGAGTTATCAGTGTGACCGTGAGGCTGATGAGGGCACGTGTTGCCAATGGCTAGATTTAAGGTACTGGGACTCGTGAGTTGTAATTGTCCGAGATTCGGTAATTCGTGGTAATTGTTGGATAAGACCTGATGTGAACACCGTCGTAAGATCTGAGTTATTGTTTTGTTTTCCCTTTTTTGTATTGTGACTGTAGGATTTGGGATGAGTTTTTTTTTCCGTTCTTATGTGTCATAATTTTTAATATTTTCGTTGTTACGTGTTGTTCTTTTCCCTTATTGTGGTTGTAGCATTGTTGGTTACTTTGTACAGTCTTTATATAAATATATATCATGTTCCGTTGTTCCTATCATTGCACTATTTTTTAGACTGGTAGGTGTCTCGACTGTTCCTCGTCACTACTCCACCGAGGTTAGTCTTGATACTTATTGGGCATCGTCGTGGTGTGCCCATGCTACTCTTCTGCACATTTTTGTTGTGCAGATCCAGGTATTTTCCACTCAGTTCTATCATCCTTGGGAGGAGGCGTTCTGTAGAGACTTCGAGGTATATCTGGTACGTCCGCGGGACCGAGGAGTCCCTCTCTATCTTCTGTAATAAGTATAGTCCGTTCAGTATTATCCTTTGTTTAGATATTTCCGGAGTTAGAGCTTCTTATGTATCTCATAGCTTGTGATTTGTGAGATTTTGGGTTTTGGGAATTTTGTTAGCTTCGAGAGTTGTTATTGTATATGCCGAGCGGCACCTTAAACACTACTTATTTTTATTATTCCGATTTTAGTTATTTTCCTTCACAATTATTGTTTATATTCCGCATTTGTTAGGCTTACCTAGTCATAGAGACTAGGTACCGTCACGATGGTTCACGAAGAGCGAACCGGGGTCGTGACAAGTTGGTATGAAAGCTCTAGGTTCATAGGAGTCACGAATCACAAGCCGGTTTATTAGAGTCTCGTGGATCGGTACGGAGACGTCTGTACTTATCTGCGAGAGGCTATGTAACCGTTAGGAAAAATTCCACTTCATTTGATTTCCCTGTTGTGCGAGATTTTTGACATCACAATCCTAAACCTCTGTCTTCTACTCTCTCACAGATGGTGAGGACACGTACTACCCGAGATGATTAGGAACCCGCACCCCCTACTGCAACCGTAAGAGGCCGGGGCCGAGGTAGAGACCGAGGACGCGCACGTGGTGCAGCGAGAGCACCTGCGCAAGTTGCCGTCGAGGCACCACCAGCAGATCTAGCCGGAGTCCAGGCACCTGACCCGCCTACTACTACTACTACTCCAGCCCTTCAGGAGACTCTGGCACAGTTCATGAGCATGAACACCACTTTGGCTCAGGCGGGGTTGCTTCCCCTTACTGCAGCCACATCCCAGGCCGGGAGAGGAGCATAGACTCCCGCCGCCTGCACTCCTGAGCAGCGAGTGCATGTCGAGCAGGTCCCTGAGATTTTTCCTGTGCAGCCTGCAGTCCGAGATCAGCCCGAGAGCAGGGCAGCAGTTTCTGTGGAGGAGCAACTAAGGCTTGAGAAGTTCAAGAAGTACAAGCCTCCTGTATTTAGCGGTCTAGCATCGGAGGATGCCCTGGGATTTCTAGATTAGTGTTATCGTATTCTCCGTACCATGGGTATATCAGAATCGAGTGGGGTTTCTTTCACCCGCCTTCCAACTTCGAGGAGCCGCCTATCAGTGGTGGCGTGCTTATGAGTTAGACATCCGGATGAGGCTACTTCACTGACATGGCTCTAGTTTTCAGATATGTTCCTGAGAGAGTTTGTCCCTCAGAGCCTCAGGGACGCATGGCGCGCTGAGTTTGAGCATTTACGCCAGGGTACTATGACCATCTCGGAGTATGCTGTCCGTTACACCAGCTTGGCTAGACATGCCCCAGCCTTGGCTTCTACTGTTCGCGAGAAGGTTTCGCCGGTTTATTGAGGGACTTACCAGAGCTTCAAAAACTTGCTATTCAAGGCAAGGGCATTGCCCTTTTATAGGCACATATGAGGTGCAACTTCAGATTTTAGTTTTACATATTAGTCCCTTACTTATTTTCAGTTTAATCCTCTATTTATTGGCTTATTTCTCAAGTTAGTACACCTAATTCCAGATTTTCACCTTAGAACCCCCATCTAGAAGCTTCTAGGAAGTTCTATTTCAGTTATTGCTAGATTCCCTTTGTCTAAAAGCCTATACTACCCCTGAATTTATTCTGAAATTACCCAAATAACTATCAACTAACCCA